AAAAGAGTCGCTGGAGGGGTCTGAAAAGTCGCTAAATATAGCGACAAAGTCGCTGAGTTGGCAACACTGGTGATGAATGGGAATAGTTTGTGTGGTCTAATGAGAGAGAGAAATTGAGCTTCCTTGATTAAATTGCACTGGTCATTTTTGGGGGAATATAAAGGATGAGCACAACCCAGTGAACACCACCACCATGATTAAGTATGGAAGTGGAAACATCATTCTTTGAGGATGCTTTTCTGCAAAGGGCAGACATCCTGACTGTATTGAGAGAAGCATGGATGGGAAGATATATTGGGAGACTGTATCCAGTAACAACTTTGCCTCTGTAGGGTAAATGAAGATGGCTTGTGACTGCGTCTTCCATGACAATTACCTAAAACACACAGCCAAGACCTCAGTCCCTCTCATCTTAGTTCTTTGGCTAGACACTTCACTGGCATTGGCTACTAAAGATGTTCAGATGGTCTGGTAGCAACTGTGCATGGCAGTTTTGCTTCTGCCGATGTGCTCCATGTCAGCTGTTGTTATAATGTGTTGTGTACTATCGGTTGTGTTAATTTTGATACTTCATACAACTGTAAGACAAATTCAACCCTGATATGTGTTGAATTACAACCAGTGGTGGAAGTAATGCCATTACAGTACATAATGATGACTTTTGTTACTGGGTTGGTTTTTCATTGAAAAGTAATCTAAGTACTTTTCACATATCAGCAATGCCATTACATGACCTGAAATCTAACGCAGTGCATAACTACTGCTTCATCATTCAGTGACTTTTAATAAACGCAATCACTTACAGAGTGAGATATTTATACTGTGAGTCAGGTAACTTTTATTTAATTCACTTGTCAGTACATGCTTCACATCTTGGAAACCATAACTTAAGAAAACGCAATATATTATATAACTGCCAATAACACCCATTGTGTACTTTGATATATTGTAACCACTAATTTTATGGCAAATAATGAATGTGGCTCTTACATCAAAATGATAAAAGACAAGGTACAGCATTATTAACTTAGCTACTATAAATTAAGTTGTTTTCATCAACATTCAAACTGCATTTAAGAAAAGACTGCTTTCATTGCCTGTCAAAAGAGTACATGTATAATATCTGACCTTTTCACAAAGTAGTGCTCTCGTCACAACCAAACAGGGGGTTGGGATTAGTTACTCTTTTAACACTGACAGTGAAGAATAAGCTATTTTCCTATGCCAACTAAAAAGCTTAAAAGCTTTGAATATGTAAACACATCATGCATATTATTTCAGATCAAATGAAAGAAAGACTAGCCTATTTTTTTACTTCAGTTCAATTCACTTTATTCATATAGAAAAACTGATTGCATCAAATGACAGACTTTGCAGGATACTCTCCCCCTGGGTGAGTTTGCATGCATTGTGTTGTTGACTCTACAGCTTTCACTCACAACAAACACACATTCAGCAACAGTGGAGAGGAAATACTCTCTTTTGAAAGAAAGAAACCTCCAACAGAGCCAGATTATGTGTTAGGAACCTATCAGGAAAGAGAAATAAGAAGGAGCGCTACCACAGGTCATTCATTCCTGCTGCCACCAGACTCTATAATAACGCACTATAACCACAATAAGTCCTGTAAAAACCACTGTGCAGCTATATTATAGTTTTTTATTTATTAACTGTGCAAAATTCTGTGCAATATGCAGAATGTGCAATATATGTGAATAGAATAGTCATACCACTACCTCACCGTTGTTCCTTACCTACTACACTTTAATGTTAAAGTAAATCCACCTGTATATAAGCCATCCGGATTTTACATATGACACCTCAAACCTCTGTGTTACTCCCTTGTATTTTTTTATTTCTTATTTTTTATTTTGTTTTTCATTGTGTGCGATACATGTACACTTGCACCTTAATCCTTATTTATCTTGATATACTGTATATACCTGGATATACTGTATATATATTGGTTATTCTTAATCAACATATTCTCATTATCAGTTCGTATGAAATAGTACGGAAAGTTATGCACACTATTTCGTACGTTTTGGACGTTTTTCCTCAAAAAAAACAGATCAGTGCATGCGCATACACAGGCAGACAGACAAAAAAAGCAGTGGATGTAAAACTGGGAAAAACAGTGCAATAATTACTTCTTCATGTCTCTCACTACGTTGCTTGCTGTTTTATATCTTAGGGTTACGGTTAGGGTCAGGGTTAGGGTTAATTGTATGTTAAATTCTATGTTATTGAATGGTGCGTAAGATGCGCATGCGCATACAACGAAAAAGACCTCCAAAACGTACGAAATTACGGTGCATAACTTTTCGTACGATTTCATACGAATAATGAGAATACATTGTCTTAATGCCTTTTCCTCCTTGTTTGCACCTTCTTTAACTTCTATGCCAATATGTGACAAGTGAATTTCTCCGCTGCGAGATCAATAAAGTTCATCTAATCTAATCTAATCTAAGTAGACATACAAGCATAACATAGAAGCACTGATTCATAAATAAAATGGCTGCAAGTTTTGGGTCTTTAAGGAATGGTGTACTGTGAGAAATGTAATTCCTCTTTAGTGCTCTGTAGCGGATGTCTTATGTTTCCTACAGGAGTTAATTGACAAGTGCAAAGCCATCTCAAATATTAAGGTGTATCTGGCAGACATTTCTGCCAGCCATGTCGGTTTTGGAGACAACACCTACTAGTTTGTCAGTTTATGAAGGGGTAAGCATCCTAAGCTACCTGTTGCAAGCTCCCTGGTTTCACTTTGGAATCTGTCGGTTGAGCTGGAGGCGTTTTTTCATCTCCCATTTGAGGCTCTAAAGGCCGCCTCTCTGAAACTGGTCTCATTAAAGATGGCTTTGCCTCTTACCCTGACCACAGCGAAACAAGTCAGTGAGCTTCAGGCTTTGTCTGTTATCTCTTCAGGTTTACAGTTTGGGCCCTAATCCGGCATTTGTGCCAGAGGTGGTGGATTCTGCTTTTAGCTGCTTTACAGTTGAGCTTATTGCATTCCATCCTCTGTATTTTTCCTCTGAAGAGGACATGAGTCTTAATAGGCCATGTCTTGTTCGAGCTCTGCACATGTGTTCCAGATCGGCTGGTTTCAGAAGGGCACGCCAGGTCTCATCGGAGGCTGTCCCACTGGATTGTGGAAGCCATCTCACTTGCCCAGAGCAGCAGAGATTTGCAACCTCGTCTAGGGTTGAGGACACATTCTACTAGCAGTAGGTTTACCTTTTTGAAATTTATATTTGAAAATTAACTTACTCACAGTTCTTTTATAACAGCATGAGGTGTCTCTCCTGCACTTCCCTTCTTGAAAGATGGCCAGAAAATATTCTAGAATGATTGTAGGAGGAGCCTGTTGACTGTACCATTATCAGGGGGCGGGCCCGAGGTACAGAACTGAATACTGTTCGTCCGTTGATACAACGAGGACCATCTATTCATGCTATGGTTGGGGAAGTTAGAGTCTATGAGTACGCAGGTGGCTGATCAGGCCAATCTGTGCACGGAATAGTCTTGGGCAATGTGGACAGGGAATGATGGCGTCTGGTGCAAGATTGGCAGCTCTGATCTTCCTGGCTTGCCTACGCTCTACAGTCACAGCGATCCGGTTTGCCTTGCAAGCTTTGGCACCTTTTTAGACAGCAGATCGCCACATTCCTGTTCCAGAACTGAAACAGTCAACCTGACAGACATGGTGCCATTGGGGCTTCAGCAGTTGGTCTCCCCCAAGGTGTTTCCAATTGTGAAACACCTCAATCTGTCATCAAAGAACTGGGGTTACATGAGTAACCTAAAGCTTTAAGCCTCGTCTTTAGCTAAGTAGATAGTGTGTCTGACTCACAGGCTAAAATTAGTATTTTGTTCTTGAGGATTGGAGCCTGATAACTAAAAGATAGGCCAACCAGTCTACTTTTAGAAATTTGTGGAATTACTAGTAAAATTGTAGATTGAGAGCAAAGTGGTCTGTTAATAAGATAAGGAAGTATTAGATATCTGATATAAGATCAAAGCCTGGTTATTTAGAGCTTTAGCCAAAACATGAGAAGGAGGATTTTAAATTCTATTCTGGATTTAACAGGAAACCAAAAAGCACCTCAGTTTAAAAATATTAAATCATTATCAATTTAATCCAGGCAAGGTTGTGTTTGTATAATACTAATGCTGTATGATACCTTTTCCACCCTTAAATGTCATTCCAGAAGTATGGAATTAATGTAACAATCTGAATTATACCTAAAAGTACTTTTTCTTGTTTATTTGCGTGTTTAATACTGTACCTGCATTTGTAAGTGATTTGCTACAGTCAAATTTAAAATCTATACTTATAGTGCTATGGTAAAGCAGTAGTAATGTTTGCTACATGTTGAGAGGCTTGTTGTCCCAGGTTCAAATCTTAACCAAGAGACCTTTTCTACATGTATTTGCCTTCCCTATCATCCCTTTTCGTTTTTATCTACTATCATAAAAGCTTTAGTTTCACAAAACCAAGAAACAAACAATGCTTGACTGTTTTTTTAAATGAATTGCTAATAAACTTAGGAAGTAAGGGGCAAAAGTATGAATGATTGTTGTTAATATTAGTGACATGTGCAGTATGAGATATTGGTTGATTGTATTTTGGCCTTATGCTTGTTACATTTAGGCCTAAATGTAAAAGAAGTAAAAGAGTAATAGAACTATATAGTTAGGCTTATTCAACCATACTGAAAAGTATTCAGCAACAGAAAATACCAGGAATTTTTAAGTTTGTACTTCTCAGATACCACATTTTGTCATTCTCTTGCCAGGAGAACTTGCCTTAGGTAACAAACTAAGCTAGCACTTATACGTGCATATATGGGCAGGGAAATCATTTTTCAAGGTTTGCCTTTAGCAGCGGCTGACAGCTTACATCATGCAGAATGAGTCTTGTTTGTCTCAGTGGGAAGAAGACTTACTCATTCTTCAATCATTTTGCTGTAGGTCTGGTGACGCACGGACCTGTGTTATACAGAAGCAACAAGTGCTTGCAGCAGGGGTTGTCAGGAAGCACTTGACGAATTAAGTGTTTTCATCCTTTCTATCTAACCCCAAACCTTGAGGGTAGCTGTGGCTACATTGTAGCTTAGCACTGCTTTTGCTGATGGTCATATGAATGACTGATGATTGCTTTGGAGCCCTCAGAGTTGGGCAAAAAAAGCACTTCACAAGTGAAAGTCATTTTCCATTCACTGTGTTGTCATTTACAAGTTTTTTTTTCAAGTGTTTTATAAAGTTTTGATGTTGGACTGAGTTATGTAGTTTCAATTTTGCACTCTTTTATTTTACACAAATATGCAAGGTTAATTTGCTATTCTAGATTAACTTTGCAATTGTAATTTAGCCAGGGTTGTTATTCAGATTCAATGTTATTCAGTGATGAGGTTGGAATCAGAAAGATATCATTGCTGTTTTGGTTAAAAGCTTTTCCATCTGGCCCTCCCACTCCACAGCAAACGAACATGCAGCCTTGTCACAAGGTGATCTGCAAGTGTACCTGCCAAAAGTAAAACAAACAGACTGCTACAGTTAGATACAGTTACAGTCACAACAACAAAAAATATAAATATTTGAAAAATAAAATACTTTAAAAGAAATACAGATTTTAAATATATTTCCTAATGTGTGTAGTTGATTCAGGTGGGAAACAGAAAGCAGGTGGTCAGGTAGGAGAGATCAGAGGCAATTAAACCAGGATTACCTGGAAAAAAACCAAAAACAAAATCAAGACATACGAGACAAAGTGTACCTGATACAAAACAAGTTAAAAGAAAGGATGACAGTAAATGGAATAGCTTGTTTCCCATAATATACCAAAAGGTGGTTTCAACAAAGCCATTCTTGGTCAATATTGATGTTTTTCCCACATTTTTAGTATCACTCAAGGTTAATAAAATCACTCAGGATAAGATATAAGACTTTACAAGAACCCTGTTAGTTTTCTGTAGCTCGGACATGCACACTCTAAACAATACCTTGGCTAAACTAAAAGAAAAGTAAATATTTGCATGGATCTTTGTAAGTTTTTCCATCTCTGCCTTTACTGTGATACATTTTATTGTTAAACCAACTCATTTACCTTAGTACAGCAAACATGATTATATTTTCCCTCTAAAGGCTTAATTACAGTAAACAAAATTAGTTTTGATGGAAATTTTTTGGTAATATTAAGTGGTCCAATTATTTTATTTTTAGCTGTTCCAACTTATTTACTGACATTGTTTTCAAATATCCATGCAAATTGTTATCTTAACTTTTTCAAAAAATCAACTAAGTTTACAAACCTGTGAATTAACTAGTTCAAGTACATTTGGGGGCTGCACAATGTTGCAGTGGATAGCACTGCTGCCTTGAAGCAAGAAGGTTTTGGGTTCAATCCCTGACATGGTGTCTTTTAAATCGAGTTTGCATGTTCTCCCTGTACATATGGGGGTTTTCCTCACATACTCAGGCTTCCTCCCCCAGTCCAAAAATATAACTGTCAGGCTAAATTCTCATTAGGGTTGAGTGTGTGTGTGTTTGCATGGTTATGTGTCTTCTTGTGTCCCTGTGTTGCCCTTTGATAGACTGGCGACCTGTCGAGGGTGTACCCCGCTTCACCAGCAACCCAAGCAGAAGTAATCGTGATGGTAAATGGATGGCTGGAATTTATTTTGTAAAATTAGGCCACAATCCTACACAATAGAACCTCATTTTTCGTGCTTTAAATGTGTGATCATAATGTATAGAAAGAAATGGAAGATAAAATATGCAGTCAAGGTATACTGTATGTGAAGTACATTCAATGTGCATCATAAAACTCCAGGAATAAAGGACATACGTTAACATATCCAGCACACAATGAGCACTGTAGGTTTTCATTCTAAATTGTATTCCTGGTCAAAATATCAAATGTCAATATTCACTCTCCAGTGAATGTTTGTTCTCAACTGTCTTTTAATTTGAATCATAACCCATTGTATTAAATGGATGGGGCCATCTTAATCATCTATTTTGTGAGGTATAGCGTAACTTACGGTATCAAGAACTTATCCCCAACGCATATCAACGTCTTTGACGTGTTCCAGATGACCACTGAACGTGTTTTTAACTTACAGCTACTCTATAATGGCGTATTGGCAGCATTTTGATATAAAAGGAGATTTGCAGGAGGGAAGCGTCAGTTCTCCTCCTTAATCCAATGATGTGGTCTTCATCCCCAGCATAGCGTGAGTGTGAAACTGAGTGTGATGGATCCTTTCTGCTTTTACGGCCACTACCAACAAACTTCCTAGCAGACATGATGCTGAATCTGCTCTGACTGCAAACCTTCTTTCTTTCTTTCTTTCTTTTTATTTATTTATTTATTCTTTTTTTTGTCGGGCAGTAAACAAAATTTAGGTTAATATCTGGATTAACCAACTATTTTTATGCACCTCTGGGGGCATTGCCTGCCCCTCAGGACACTAGCTTGTGCATCATTTCATGGGCATTAAACTGCTGTGCTTAGTTAGGCTGTCGTTGGACATACACTCTGGACTCATTATGAACACTCTATTCAAATGCCCAAAATTGAAAAAATACATTAACAAAAATTCAGCGTATGCACGGGTTTCGGAAGATTCGGTGGCGTGAGGCATACACTGGAAAAATCATCAAGGTGTGACAGGAGCTTTACAACTTTTCTGATTTATGTATCCTTTTGTGAAATTTGTCTTTCCATAAGTACCCCTCTCAGTGAAAAGTATTGATAATGTTCTAAAAGTAGAATGTACAATAACTGATTATATAATAAAAACATTTTTACTTAAACCTTGAAATTGAGCATTTAATTTTTAAGCATTTTAAGCTTTCCACTTCAAATAAATATATATAAACATTAATATGTTGCCTGGAAGTTAGTAAGGAATAAAAAAAAAATAATACAAAATAATGTATAAAACTGGAGCTCATCTGAATAACTCCCTTATAATCACATTTAAACTTGAGGAATTGGGAACAAAATACAGAAAGAAATTATAGTCAGACTGACTTAATTAGTTTTACTTTGTTTACGTCAAGACACCCGAGCTGCTGTGATGAGCCCTGATAGCTAAGTGTGAAAAACAGCTGTCCTCTACATTCAGGATGGTTTTGCTCAGTGTCAAAGCTGAAGCTGAACTCAAACATATAAGAAAAATCTTACTTTTCGGTTGATAAAAGCTTGTTTAATTTTTTAGTTTGTTCCTCAGAAAGCAAAACTGATCCCAGTTTTTTTTTTTTTTACTAACAAATAAATAAAATGTTTTCATGTACCCCTTGCAATGCATTTCAATTCAATTCAGTTTATTTATATAGCGGCATTTTTAAAACTCATGTCATCTCAAGGCACTTTGCAGATACAATTCAACCAGATCATACAGTGAAATTGATTCAAAGTTTCCTATCTAAGGAAAACCAGTTGCTTGCATCGAATCATTGACTTGAAGCCAATCCCTTACACCAAGCATGCTTCTAGCGATAATTGAGAGGAAATACTCCCTTTTAACAGGAAGAAACCTCCAACAGAACCAGACCAGGGAAAAAACAACATCTCAACAAGCCCAACAGGAGGCAACAACAAAGAAACACACAGAAAGAAACACAAGCGAAAAACCAACCCCCAAACCAGAGCAACAAAAGAGCACACCCAGGAAAGAAAAAGCAAAGAAAAAAAACTACACAGAAAAACAAGCCCAGAGCAAAAACATATAAAAAAAAAAGGTGTCGATGGCGGCAGTACAGCTTATATTTTTCTTCAGGATGGTGTCACAGCAAAATAAGAGCAGATCAGGTGAAGCTACTATGAGAGACTACCGGACCACTAGGGGTACGACTACCCTAGGATGGAAATCACTGATCAGAAATGTAGTGCTTCTGGGTCACCACGCTATCCTGTTAATATGGGGCAAATTTGGTCAGCATACATCACACAGTCACACACCCATAAGAACATGAAAGACCTTCACATCATCATCAGCTATGTCCATCACAGTATTTTTTTCAGGAATTGCTCATCCATCTACTTCCCTGACTGCTCTACCTTCTGTTTTCTGTTCTTCTCCAGCAGGCGGTAGATTTCTGCACGTCTGTGTTAACAGAACCTGCACTATTTCTGTTCACTTTTTTTATTTTGACCAAACTCCAACTTCTGTTTTACTTCATCTACTTCCACACTAAGTTCTGTTTTATTAATGTCTTCCACTTGACCAGTTACATCCTGTGAGGCTGCATGTGCAGAGATCTCTCCTCTGCATTTTCTCCTGCATGTAAATTGCTCAGAAGATGTTGCTTTAACTTATGCATTTCTAAGCTTTAAAAAAAGGTAGAAGGAATGTAATTTAAGGTAATGTAATTCCTTTTGCAGCTGCCACCTATCAATTTAGCTGACTACACAGCTAGACTCCAGCAGTAAAGCCACACTTACTAGCTTCCATGACATATTTTGCCCAGATGCATTGCAATGCTGACATTACATTCACAAACTGTGTAGATCAGCAATACTATAGAAACAAGGACATTTAGATTCTGTTGATAAATCTATAGAATATCTTGAATGGTGATTGACAGCTGTGTACTCATCAACAGATGAAAAGCACAGTAGCACATGCTCAGCTCTATAAGTTCAAAACACACTTCCATCTCACACATGATGCAATAGAGCATACAAGAATGGTGCGAAGCATAGTGAGAAACAACAGGAAGGCATTCCCATGAACTTAATAAAATACTTTAAAACAATGACCAACTGATTACTAAACTTTTGATAAAACCTAAAATCATCATAATATTCTAACTATAAATATAAAAAGGTCCCACAATATAACACATTTTTTATCTCTTGGAATTTTTCCATAACGCTTTAGTGATTAAAAATCATACAAACACACGTTGATTCTAAAGCAGTTTTCACCAACCTTTTTAAGGCTGAGGGCTATTCATAGGTACTGAGTCCTAAAAAGGGCTACCAATACTGACCTCCTGAACTGGAGGAGTCAGGATTCACCTAAACTTCATACATGATAAGCATATTTATATTGTTTCCTTTAACCCCTAATTTTCTTTATAATAAAGTCATTTTAAAATGAATTTCAATCTTAGCCCACTGCTGAGTTGTGCTGTTTTCAGAAGATGCTGTGGGCCCCCCATGAGGACCCTGATGCTGTCTTAGTTTTGGTTCTGTTTTAGTTTTCCTTTTGAGTTTTCATTTGTTTTATTTATATTTTGTGTTTTTTAGACTTGGACAGCTTTTATCTAGACAACTTATGCTAGTTGTTTTTAGTTATATTTGAGTTATTTTGTGTTTCTTGTTTATCCTCTTTTGGCCTCTTGTGTCAGTCTCCTTTTTCTAGCTCTCTTCTTGATTCTTCTGTCCACAGCTGCTCCCACTCTGCTGATTAGCCGAGTCTTTGTTCAGTCTTCCATTTATGCTCCTCCCCTTCAGTTACTGTTTGTTGGTTACTCATAGTTTCTTGCTCATCATGTTTGTTTTCCCTGATGTCTCCTATATTATTATTATTTTTTTTGTATCAAGCCAGTTAATTGACTCCATTTTTTCTCTAAGTACCTCTGTTTATTTCTTTTTTTAATTGTTAAATGAAGGGAAATGTG